GAATAAATTAATAGCATAACATAAAATACCCTAAATAAAAGAATACTGCAAACCGCTTGGCATTAACAAAGCTAAAATCTGCGGAGAGTATTTCGGAAAAAGTTATCACTATCTACAACATATACCTATTTTAATTAAAATAAAAACAACGTTTACTCCAGTTGAAAAAAATAGTCTGGTGAAATGTATTCTATTCTGTAAAACATTTTTCGTTACTTTCATTCTCCTATTCCTTGTTGCAAGTTCTTTTAATTAACCTTAATGTTGCGCGACAGACAACAGTCTCTGAGAAGGCCAAAATTAAATGCCTGTTACGATAGTCTTTACTTATTGGATTCGAAACAGTTTGTGCTGAATTCTAGGCAAATCTTTAAAAGGTCACATAATAACCTCTTAAATAGTACGTATTTACATGATCAATGAAACAATAATTGTATTGGAAACAATAGAGCACGGAAAATAGCCTTGTATAATTAAATCGTATAGGTCATTTTATAAATCAAAAGTAATAATAAAAATTTTAAAACAAATGTAGTTGTATTGCAACTTTAAGGAAAATAAGTTATTGTATACCAGCCTAATTATAGTTAATTATACTTATGTAAAAACATGAAAATAAAGATGTTCAATTGTAGAAGATTACATTTAATATTCTCTTAGACATATCAACTGGCTCGTTCGTACTATATATTTTCATATTTTTTGATCTATAATGGTATTTAATGTTTGGAATAAATTCTCAACTAACGATATAGAATTATGAAAGCTAAAAAATGCAGGCCCCAGTTCTGAGTGCTTCGATAGTGCTGAATTAAACCTAGATTAGTTGATTTTTTATTTCTTTTGACAATATTCCGAACCAAATAATCTTAAAAAGTAAACATATGTAAAACCTTTTGCCGAATATAGCTGTTAAAATCAGTAACATTACTTATTAATTAGCAAACTTGTAGTACGCGAAATGAAAAATACTAGCAAAGTCTTATTTAACTAAAGAAACTTTCACATACTTGGAACCTAATGAACATCCTAAGCTTTCCAAGTACCTGAGTGATTTACTTTCGATGCTGTATATCGAATGAAGCCAAATGGAAATAAACGGCTACTCGGTTTTGTACTCTTAAAAGTTTTGGTAGCAACTCTATTTCGTACAACTGGGAAACTCTGTTAAATAACGTGCTTGACCAACAAGCGTAAATCAGGATATACCCTCTAAATAAGTATCTATCTGCTATAACACTGTTTCAGTAGTAACGTAAAGTAACAGCCGAAGGCCCCTCTATGCAGAGCGTATCAGGGCATAGTCCACCACGTGGCCCCACTGCGTTTTGGCGGACTTCACCTATCGTCGAAGCATCATTTTTGTTATTATTTCGAAAATATTCAGGTTTCCTCATGATGTTTTCCTTCACCGTGGAAAACGTAATAAGTCAGCACATAAAATTAAAAATTTCATTGGGGATCGAACTCAGGGTACTCGAGTACGTTGAATTAAAAGCAAGCGCCGGACACTGAGCTATCGCGGCTCTTCTTTCAGTACTACCTTAAAATTATTTAACACCAAATCACTGTTAAAGATTCCCCGCGTAGGTCGAGACCCGTTGCCAGTAAGGATCACTAATTGTGGAGGCATCTCAAGGCGGGGATTATTTTTTAAGTTTGAGAGTGGTGTTTATTTCAATAAAATACTACTACTACGTAATAAATAAAGTGAAAGTCATTTCACTTTATTACAAGGAGAAATTCCTACAATACTTCGTAACAAACTTCTTCCTCTTCCTGCCATGTCATAAGCATATAAAAAAATTTTAATATCAAAGTTTAAATGAAATTCAAATTTTTATTTACAAATGAGCTATTAAATTTTAAAAAATCGGTTAATCTTCAGGAAAAAGATTAGTTTTAGTCTTCTACGTGTGTTTAACAAAAATGATTAATATTTTTTTATTAAACATCCTGATACTCAAATGGTATAGAATTTAAGCATAATATACGTAAATATCATGTTAAAAACATGAATTTATGAAAAACTGTGGATTTTTTTTAATAAGCGTTCATTGTCAAATCCCTTAGTCGGACGGCGAAAGCAACGAATTACTGTCAAAACTTTTAAACCTTAAATCGTGGACGTATTAAAATATTTAGATTGCCAAAAGTTAGCTTCGAATGTCATAGGAATATTGTATGTCAAATTTATTTTAATATGAATACTTTACGAGAAATAGAGCCAGTTACGTGACAATGGATACTGCAAACCATTTCGTAATCTAGACAATGAATATCCACATTCAAAAAGGTTTAGTAACTTTTTTTTCCTTCAAAAAGTTTCCAAGTTATTTGGTTTGATCACAATTACCACGAACCAATGATTATGGCTGACCATGGACAATTAAAACCACCATGAGATTTGTAACCGTTACCGTTTTGTAGCTAAGTGCTAAAACTGTTAGGAGTCTATTCGCACAGCAGGAGATATGTAACCTGTTGTTTCTGTACCACAATAAAGAAACCGGTCAAGTGCGAGTCAAACTCGTACTCCGAGGGTGCCGTACCCATTATTACACCATAATAAAATTGGTAAATAATCACCACCGATTTTCTCCGGAACGGTAGACCTAGTAAGTTGAACCGAAAAATTCATTTTATGAGCAAAAAAATAAAAATTTTAAACATTGATATAAACATGAAAAGCTTTAACGTAATCTAGATGTTTTAAAGAGAGTAATGGTTACTATTCAATGTATAACATATTTTCACAGAGCCCGCCTTTTAACAAGCAGCTGGTTATACCCGATTTATTTTTTTACTGTAATTTTATAAATATTACTATATATACAACTGAGTGATAAGAAGATTTTGTTGTAGAGCCGTTTTACAAACCCAAGTTAAAGAAGGATAATTAATTACCCCATTCCAGAACAAATAATTATATAAATGTATACTGTAGGTCATAACAAATTCTTGTGCTGGGTGGGAATCAGATCTACATACTTATCTAGTTTTCTAATTTTTTTTTAAACAACATTGCCCTTACTTTGGGATAACATTATCCTGTGTTGTAAAGACGTTTTTATGTTTTCACGCGGACAAACACCCAGATGCGGAACAACGATCTGTGGGTCACACAAATAGTTGTCCCGTGTGGGACCTCCGACGCCGAAACCGATACCTTGGCTACTGCGCCTCGGAGTCATCAAAATTACTAAAGAACAGCGCCAGAATCGTCATACCGTTGCATAATTCTAATAATTAAGTAAATACTCTTCAAATAATACCTAACTACAAGAGTTCATCAAAATGACCAGTTTAGCAAACCATTGTAAAATATATTGACAGATAAGTTGTAAATAAAATATACGAGTACGAGAGTTGCCTTATTAACAACGAGACAGTTAAAAAGGGTACGGCACATGTCTCCACGAACGTAATAAGATTAAAATTCAGACTAACATTTTCTGAAAATAACATTATGTTTATTGCCAACTTAATTGTAAATGTGATGAAAGGAATTTGAAAATAATAAATGAAATGAGACGAAACATTGACGTAGTGATAGTGAATACTTAATTCATAAGTTTTTTATAGCTTTCAAAATATGATTTTGAATGCTTTATATATGTGGCAATACATTTGCCATCTGCGCAAACTCTACTTTTAAAATTAATAATAATTTATTAATGAAATAACCAATGAGAGATTTCAAATGTTTCAAATCACAAAACCATAGCCAAAAACAAAACGGTATCGCCAAACATATGTACATTTATATAGTTTAAATTATAATAAAAGAAATAACACTTTTTATTTTTACTCATATATCGCCGTGAAATCATAAGCAACTATTCCAATCAAGTTGATGGTAATACCGCATTGATATGAAAATTACGTTACGCATCTAAATTAAAGTCAAGTTATATGCTAATATAGCAATCTTGTTAACTCCTGTCTAATCGCATAATACCCTGAAAATAGAGCGTGCCGTTGCTTATACATTTACAAATTTAACTTAAACTCAATAACTATGTAAATACGTATTAATTTTATGCTTAAATAAATTTTTAAAGTTTCACATTTAGATATTAAAATATTTTTCTATATCTTCAGTGGAATATAAAGAAACAAAGGATTGCAAATAGATGAAAGCAAATTTTGATTTGTATAAAATATTATCCAGGCTAAAAAGAAAATCAAAAAATCCAAGATCTACAGTAAATTTTTTACTTTGTCGATCGAGCCGTTGTTAACACATTTAAGTGCCAAAATTGCGCACCTTGTGGCACCTTTATACACAGTTATGTGAGTGACGTTATCAACAACTTGCAGGCTTCAAGAAAATCCTGAGTAAATCTTTAAAACCCGCAATGTTACTAGAATTTATTTATATCAAAAATGAAGCACAAATTAGGTCGTGCGTACTATGCAGCAAAATAATGAAAGTTAATTTTGTAATCCTTCGGTCGAGATTCAATTCCAAACCAACCAGGACACCATTCCAAAGGATATTGCGTCATGAAAATGGGCAGGATATGTTAATGAAAAAAATATATTTTAGATCCTATTAACAATAGCGATGGTGCATTTGTTAGAATATTGCATATAAGTTGTTATTGTATACAAGGCTAATATAAATTAAAACATTAGAAATTCTAGGAACGATGGATATGTAGTGGGGATATTTGCCTTTAGAAGTTCTTTTGAATGTTATATTTCTTTTTATTCTTTTATTTCTTTTTATAATTAACACATGCATCTAAGCTAATACTTTAAATGTGTAACGACCACCTCGCTTATAATATTACACACACTTAAATATATTAAACATCTACATAATACTAAGATTTTTTGTCTTCATTCAAACCAGATAAAAAAATTAAATAAGCTAGATCAAATTTCTATCGGAGGTTCTGTTTAGCTTTTGATAATTTTCAATTATTTTTCTCAAAGGTTTCGTGGCCTTTTTAATTATAAACTGAACAAAAAATTATAGACCTTGTCTCTCACCGCTCTTCTTCTGCAGCCCTTTCCTGCAATCTCAAAGTCACGTCAACTGATAACGCCATTTACACTTAATGTTCACCTTTTACATTCTTGAATTTAATTATAAACCCTAGTTCGCAAAGTATACCAAAAACAATTTATTATTCATACATATAAGTATATTTACTCTTTTTAATTTAATGTTTGTACACTTTGTATAGGTATTGTATCAAAAATCGTAACATGAAATATTGTTCGGAATTTACGGCTACATGAATTATGTCTTAAAATAAGTAAATATATTTTAAAAAAAAATCTGTGACTATTTACATTTACTCTTCGTCCTTTAATTTTTTACATTCAATTTATTTCGATCTTTTTCCACCAAGAAATTTTGAGGAATTGAATTGAATTGTCGCCCAAGAAGCTTACAATATTCTAATTGACCAAAACAACGAACTAACCCAGCTCCCAAACCTAGCCCATTGATTAAGATATAACAATTATATGTAGGTGCCACAGATGTTCCATTTACTACCTCACACACGTTTCTTTTTTCTTTTTCGTTAAAATGCTTTGTGGAAAAAAAACTGTTAGACATTCTGATGATGCGTGGCCTCGTGGAATCAGGTAATTGTTATTCGGAATTACTTATCTGTTTTTTCATAAGTATTTATACGTTTTTATATATGGAGATTGAAAGAATTTTGAAAAACCGCGAATGAAATGTTCTCAAAAACTAATTACTTTTGGTTATAATTACATCTGGAACAGCCCACGTAAGTACATATAGTATAACTCGTAAGCTTTACCGTGACGGAGACTTTTCAAGAACATGACTTTAAAATATTAACGCAATTTATGATGGGCAAAAGTGCTTATTGAGAGAGGCGTGTCAATTGTAACTTATCTTTCTCACTGAGCTCAATGTGATAAATAACCAATAATATGTTTGCTTACGAATAGTTAGTAATAAAAGTATAAATTAAAGAATGATTTATCTCAAAAGACGTCCAATTTTTATATTTGTGGCTATTATTCACATAAAATGAAAGTAATAATGTAATTACCTACATATTTTACATTTTCGTATTTCCAGTTCTTAGACTTTTTCCTAAAATACATAGGTAACCATTGACAGATGTATCTTCAAGTTAAATATAAAACCATTTAAATAGTTCGTCCGTAAACCATATTTAAAAGTTCGGTTATTTGCACTGAATTAAATTACGTTTTTGTCTAAATTAAAATTTAAACAAGTGCCGTGAACTACACGGTAACTTAACTGAAATAATTTATTAAAAACAATCTTTTAGTTTTTTAACGTATATGACTTAAATGCAATTAATAAGTGTTATTAAAATATATAATATGTGTAATAATTTACTGTTACAATATAGAATTTTTATCTATATAAGTATATCAAAAAAGTCTTCTCGTGCTCCTTTGATAGCAGTAAATATTACAATGACTTGAATAAATTAAACAAAACACTACTTCCCATAATTTCAACTTAAACTCACAATGGTTTTAGGCTCACAACCTTTAAAAACATATGGAAATTAAGTTGTCTCGGCTCTTTAAAGTAGAAAAAAGATGTATCGCACTATATCTTGTCTTTCTCTGAATAAGTTTTACTTTATCAAGCATGTGTTTGTTCTTTAACAAACCTCAATTAAATATTCATTTATATTTTCAATTTGATTCAGAATCTTCATTTCTAAGTGCACTATTATACGCCGGTCATAAATCAACATAATATACACACATTTACGAAATACTTATTATACACCCAGCAATTGTTTATAATATACATATTAATAGGTGAAGCAAAAACTTTTTACCCTTTTTTACGACTGATGAGTATGAAATTTCTAGAAGTTCATTTTTAGAAGGAATGCATAATGCTAATATTTTTTTAATTATGCATAAAAAATACATTAAATTAATATAAAAAACGTCTGGTGAGTGAGGTAGCCGGAGCCCAATTTCCAAAAAGGTTGTCAGCGCATCTGCAAACCGTCGGGTGTAGATGTCCATGGGAGGCGGTATTCACTTAACATCAGGTGAAGCGTCTGCTCGTTTGGCAACTTTTCACATAAAAAAAAAACTAGCCGAGTTTGCCTATGCCGCGCTGTGACTTTTCTTTTTCTCCATTGGACATTCTGAATAAAAATTATATAAAAACACTTTCAAATGTGTTCAATGTGTTGTGATTGCTCAGTATCCGGGCGCTCGCATTTAATTCATTATACTCGAGCAACCGGAGTTTAAATACCGGTGCCACCACCAATGAAATTGTTAATTTTAAGTGCTGACTTATCGCGTGCTCAGTGGTGAAAGAAAAAATGGTGAGGAAACTTGCATATTTACGCAATTAAAATAAAAATATTTTGAAGATATGTGATGTATGCCAATCAACAGTAGGGTCGCTTGGGGGACTATGCCCTAATACTCTTTGTACAGAGGAGGCCTTAGCCCAGCGAAACTTGCATAGGTTGATTACTTACTTTACTTATATTGTGAACAAACGTCAAGTCAATCCATCGGCCACTTTTTGAATTTAGTGGACACAAACATACAAGAGCTTAATTTTAATGAATGTACTAAGATTATATTTTTTGTGTATGTTAATTCAGTTATGTTTATGATATGGTATGGTTTAAGAATGTACTACACTTTTTGTTAAAGCACATACGTAGTTACACAGTTTTTAACATTCTAGAGCTTAATATTACAAAAAAAATATTTTATCACTGTCACTTACCAATGTCGTCTATGAGAGGTGCCATTCTTAACGTGACCCCAACCAGCAACAGGCAAAGAAAGAGCAGTAGGCAAGCAGTCACCATTATTGTGTAGCGTGCCCGCCGAGGCAATTCGTCTGGGTCCAGTACCTAATAAATAAAAAAAGAACTTCAATACTTCAATACTTCGGCTATGCCGAATTCTCACTTGACTTCAAATGTTCACTCTTTCGCAGACTTAAATTTGAAATCGTTGACGCTAAAGTTTAACGACAATCTAATGTAGAATCTCCACTGCTTTAATAATTATTAAATAATAAACTCACGTACAATCGGTGTATGTACTACCGACTAGTTTAGGACCTATTTATCGGATTGCTTAATTTTATGTTCGTCACTCTAGCAGAGCAAAGAGGACAAAATTTAATTTAATTGGCAGAGTAACCTGAAATAATAATTTAATGAAAAGAATAATGTATTAAAATTAAGTGCCTTCTAGGTGCTTTCGAGTTGTATATATAACAAAATGGTCAATTTAAATAAAAAAAATTAATATTGATAAATAAGACACGATACATCTCATAGAAAATCAAGCTAGCAATGTCATCTCTAAAAATGCTACAAAAACAAATATCAGACGTGATATTTTAGTGCTTCTTATGTGTTTTACTATGAAAGCCCGGTAAATCAATCATACTGATATTTCAAATAAAATTAAAGAGTGAATGGTGCAGTATTCGAAAAGCTTAATTGAGGCTTTTCAGAGCGGAGCTAAACAAAAAAACACTATCAAATACATATGAAAAAAATGACTTTTGCTTTTTAGGTCCTTTCAGAGGCAAACCACAGAAAACAAGAAGAAGTGATTTTTTAGAACTTCTTTAGGCGCGACTAAAGGGTTACTGATTTCGTTGGACAACGACAATACAACGGAAAAGCGTAACAGCGATGACACGTTTATATAGCGTACCGTATCTATATTGAACATTTAAAAGAAAAACCTATTCATAATTTGTTATTAATTAATAAACTATATAATATATAGTAAATTATGTAACTATATAAATTTTGTTAGGTTATTATTAATATTTAATTAGATTTTGGCACTTAATTTTGAACATTTTTAAATTCTCTTTTGATCAATTTGCTCTGAAAGAGTGGCGGACATCCTAATTTTTACTTTCGCAATAATTGTATGAATTTGTTTGCGAATCAGAATTTGTGTAACAAAATTTTTGCTAATATTCGTAACTTTATAAACTTTATTCAAAGGGAAAAAGTTAGAAGTTTAATCCTTACTTCCTTACTAATATTATAAAGGCGAAAGTTTGTATGAATGGATTTTAATGAAACTTAACAATAATATAGCTTACACATCAGAATAAGACATAATTTACATACGTAATTTACATAAGCTATATTTTACATACATATTTCATGTATATCTGTCTTTCTGTCTGAATGTTACGCCTTCAGCCTACGTAGCATTCTACGCAGACGTAGTTGCGGGCAGCAGATAGTAAAAAATAAAACTTTAAGGACGTGATTTAAAAGACATTTAGGTCTGTAGCACATTCTTTTATGCTAGACCAATCGGTCGGGGACTTAAACATTAAACATTTCAAATTATTATATTACCGCATTCTTTCCGCGAATATATAAAAATTTTGTTTTTAATTAATACTTTCTATTTACCATAATCTGAGATATGTACTTATTAAAAGCACTAGAAAGTTCTTGGTAAAAGAAAAGTTCATATACGGCTTCTATAAGTGAAACTAAAAACTACACTATGAGCACCATCTATTTTTCAATACGAAACTTGCTAGATGCTCTTTACTTTGTTATTACCGCCCTCTATTAGAATATTCTTTCGAAATGGTGGCGTGTTACTTGAGGGCGCTGAAACTTAGGTTTCAAAGAACACGCCATCTTGTGCATGAAATATGGAACTATCATCCTCGCTATCGGCAACAATGACAGAAATATTTAAATTCATATCTTAACATAACCAATATTATTGAAAATTTAGAGCTGGCGTAACCTACCAGTTGTTCGATACTTAGACCATGAGACCATGAACCTAAAAATATAATATTTAGATTTTTTTTAGGTAAATGTTTAAATAGCTATGTTTACCTTATTAATAGATAAATTATTCTAAAGTCCGTGTAGTTATAAAAGTAAATTAATCTAAAAGTAGCAAAAACTGTAGACATTGGATACAATAATTTTGTAGTAGTTTTGTGTAGTTACGAGACAACAGTTAGCTAGTGATTTAAGAAGGTTAAATTGTATGATTAGATTTATTTATTTTATTTTATATAATAATAAACTCAATAATACGGATACATTTTAATGAGCCAGAATCTGAAATAAATGAAATGTTTACTAATCAAATATTATTGTGTGACGTGAATCCTTTATTTTTCTTAGATACTATAACTAGTCTCTAAGTATCACGATCAGTCACGATAACATAAATACCTAGGCATATTAAAATTATAAGAAAACAATTTGTCATTGAAAAATATTACTTTCACTTTCACGATGGTAGGGCCACGCAACAGCCTCGGCTGTTGCACGAATGGGCAGGTTCGGCCGTGTAAGTAAAACCGACGTAAAGTGGAAGTATAATACTTTAGCGTTTCGTCTGGTGAGTGAGGTGGCCGGAGCCCAATATTCAAACGGTTGCCAACGCATATGGAACCCTCGGGTGTAGCAGATGTCCATGGGCGGTATTTACGCATTACGTATTTGGCTCGCTTGGCAATTTTCACATAAAAAAAAATGTAAAAATAATCAATTGACTTCCATATCAATATTCTCTTCACAAGTTTCATCATCTAAGACTTCGTTGTCCAAAGTTTCGTCACCAGTGTCTATAAAACATATGACAAACAAAGTGATCAATTGCTATATTTTGGCGTTGGCACTTTATCGAAAAATAATAAGGGACACATATCGCAAGTGTTATGATTGTTGTATTTCGTTGTTTTCTAACAAATTTTACATGAATCATTGACAGCAACATTATTTGAGTACGTACTTACTTGTTTTTTTTTTTTTTTCATTTTATCTTTAATTCCCTTTTATTTTTTCTCATTTCTTCTCTTTCCTCTTTCTTTTACAGTTCCATATCTTTTTTAACCTTCTGCTCCATTAACTTGTTTGCAATTATCAGATAAAACTGCAAAGTGCATTTTTCAAGTTTGTCTTTTTCATTTTCTCTCAGGTGTTTTGGATCGAGAGAATTAAATTTTAAACAGACTATTAGCCATTATTTTAAAAGCTGGGCTATTTAAGATTAAAACTGTCAGTTTGTGGTGGTAAAGACTCGGCTTTAGAAGCTGTTCTCTGGTAGAGGTTAATTCTTTCTGGTAGTATTTTGTAAGACATAATGTTAAATTCAACAACAGGTTTCTTAGGAAAACTGTTTGAATATAATCTGTAGCTACAAATTCTAATTTTGGTTAAGCTGCTGGTTCATTAAATTTATATGATATGATACATGAGAATAAAATGTGAACATATCAGAGTGTTAACATACAAATCTAGACCAAATTACACATAATAAAACGTAATTACTCGGTAATTGGTATTTAAAAAAACACAGATATTGAACTGTCCATTCACTGGTTTCAGTCGAGTACGATTTAATTTATTTGGCATCTCAAAATAACGTCAAAATACCATTAAAAAATTACTAAAAATGTACTGTTCATACAAAAAATATAGTGTCACCAATCTATTTCAGGCTCAAACAGGCTGAAATGATGATGATGATGAATCTATTTCATAATAAATAATGATGATTTTTAACAGGAATCACAAAATTTTCAACATAAAAATTACTCACCTTAATCTCTCAATTAAATTTCAAGACCAACACACACACACACACACACACTGCTGCAACTGTCGGAAATATTTTTATCATGATTATATTACACTGCTATGTTTGCACTGCAGTGTTGCATCGCGAATGTTTATATATATATTTCAATATTACTTACGGGCATACTTCACCACGCGGCCGATTGGCGGACTTCACACATCTTCGAAATATTTTTTCGTTATTATTTCGAAAATATGCCGGTTTCCTCACAATGTTTACCTTATCCACTGAGCATGAGATAATTCAGCACTTAAAACTAACATTTTCATTGGAGCCGACACCGGGTATCTAACTCAGATTAATATGAGCTTACTATTCTCGTCTACGTATTTTCTAGCTTAGCTTCACTACATCTACGTCCACTCGGGTATGAAGGTCATAGGTAGTTTCAGATATTCCACAATAAACTATTGCAAGATTTGTTAAGGATTTGAAAAAATAAAAATTATGACGCTGACATTAAATCTGCGAAACGAATATATTCGCCAATGGAGTCCTTAATAATTCGTTCTGTTTCGTTATGCTTTGAAAAGTATTCGAATCGCAGGAACTTAAGTTTAAAATGACTCATTTGAGGGACACTGAAAAAAAATTTAAATATACTTTTATCACACAGTCCGTCTCTGGACGGTTCTTAGCTTACAGTCAATAGAATACAAAACTGAAAACAAAACTTCTCAAACAAAGAACTCTAGTGCTAGTTTACGTCTATGGGTGCTACCGATAGCCACAGTCAGTATAATTATCACTTTGCGTTTGGAATGATTAATAAATTTGAGTAATCCTTTAAAATATTTCTCGTTGTTTTGTGTATTTTTATGAAACTATATTCTTAAAATCTATGTTAAAAGTCTCATGTTTCCTGCGTTATTTTATATATTGTACGACTCCATTGCCGCTGCCATAACGGGTACCTACTTTAACTTGCATGCGAGTTAGTATTCAAGGCGCAGTGTAATTGCGCCGTACATTATCTCTCATATTCTATGAAATGGAACATTTAGACGTACATTCGCAAATGGAATAATTAAACCGTGTGACAGTACAATTAGAGGCAGTTGGAATTTGCTTCAAATATTTCGTTGTAAACGGAGATTTGCGCTAAGCTTTTCTCAGCCCTTAAAGTTATAATTAATCTATTGAGACCACTTTTCTATTAATTATTATATTGTTAGATGATTTTAGCCAATTCATGAGATATTTTTATTGAAAAATCTGCAAAAACGACGAGGACTACATGGCGGGATTCAAGTTAATCGGACTTAAAGTGTATTTATTTCATTTTTCATTTTTCACTTTCAAAAAAGTAATTTCAAATATTTTTGATAACAAATTTGCGAATCGTATTATGAAGTTAAATTTAAATTAAATCTAATAGATATATGGAGAACGGACGACATAGATATTTAATTTGTTAATCAATATCCGAATTCTTCAATTAATTCAATGCAGCTTTTATATATAATCAATGTAAAGTACCTAAATTTTAAAAAAAATGAGTATTTAATTTAGGTGTAGTTTAAAATAATCTTTAAATATCATAGATATTTAATTCCAAAGATAATCAATCCCAATTTCACCATGCCTTCATTCTAGAGAAAATAATTAGTATTATTAGATAATTAGTACTTTAGGTTAAAATTAAGACAGCTTTAGATATCTCTGCGTATCAGGCACACTAATATGAGTCAAAAAATTTTGCAAGCAAGGAATGACAAAACCATAAACATATATCGACTGAGATTCTAACCCGCAACTCCGATCTCAAGGCTGGAATAGACATGAGGCCTGACCCTCTGCGACTAGTTTAATATCAAGACTCTTGATATATAATAGTTATTTAAATACAACAATAACGATGTAATTATTGTGGTATACACATCAACTACATAGACTCCGCAAACTCGCGCGCAAAACTTTTTAAGTATCTACTGTGGAAAACGTATTATAAACGCTAATGTGGAAAACATTTCCCGCTACATCACTCACGTGGATAACTTTCGCTTGTTCGTCAATTGCGGAGACGAGAAGTGTGCGCTGTTTCCTCGGCTTGTGGGAGTGCACGTGCGTATGGCGAGTGCGCTTTCGTCGGCGCCGTCGCCTCTCCATCTCAATATTTTCCGGGCTGTCCAAGTCCCTGTTGATTAAAATAGTAATAACATTTTTAATTGATTTATTCATTTATTTATCCAAAAACATCTTTAAAAAGGGGTTATAATGGGCGGACTTAATGCTGATTGGCATTCTGTTCCAGTCAACCTGGGGCGTGAGAAATTGTGGTAGTGCAATACATAAATGGGATTATGTAGGAATTTAGATTTCCTAGAACTTGATATAAAACACTCTTGATATAAGTTAAAAACTGTATTGTCCGAAAATTAATAAACAACTTGATAATGATAGATGAGAACGCGTGACATGCTTGATGACTGACAGCGAACTGCGAATTTAATGCCGATTATTTTAGAACACAACAAAAATGATGAGGCGTGCAATTGACGCCGTTTCGTAATAATTGTCGAGCGTAGCTCATACAGATTACAATATGGATTCGTGTGTTAAAATCCAAAACGCTATATACAGTGTCGTTACAACCACGACAATAAATGAACATACATATATAATATAATGGATAACTTTTTAAAATTGTATTAAATATTTACATTCTTAAAACATCAATATTTACCGAGGTATACAATTTTCCAAAACAAAGAATTTTAGAACATCCTTACCTATAAAACTGTAACGCATAGTTCATTTGTAAAAGTCACAAAGCATATGAATGGGTTGCATGAATTTAAAAGAGATAAAACATACTGTTACAAGGAGAGATTTCTAATATAACGATGTGGCAACGAATGAAACGTCTCTGAATGTATGAATCAGTCAGTTGTAGTTGTACAGGATTTTACAAATTTTGTTTCTTTTTTATTTAATTAGTTTGATTGAAAAATATGGATTTTTTTAATAATAATAATAAAAAAATAATAATAAATATTTTAGGACACATTTTTACACAACATTCTCTAGTCTCAAACTAAGCAAAGCTTGTACTATGGGTACTAGAAAACTGATAAACATACTTTTCTTTTGTAAATATTACTATATATACATATATATATATATATATATATATATATATATATATATATATATATATATATATATATATATAATACATATTATACATATATTAATAACACCCAGACACTAGAAAAATACGTTATAGAAAAATATGTTCATCCCACAATATTTATCCAGTAGTGGGGATCGAACCCACACCCTCTGGCGCAGTGTACCTGCCACACTACCCACAACGCCATTCGGGTCGTCAATTTAATGTTTATATTTTTTATGAATATTGGCAAGATGCGTTAGACCTGTAATCATTTATTGTCGCGGTATGTCGGTCGGACACGCTGTATAAGATATTACATAAATATGAATGTAACGCACTATATATAAAACAGAAACATAAACATATATACGTAAATACAATTTATAAATAATTTGAAAATAATAAATACAGTAATTTGAAATAACTACACAACAACACTCATTCTATCCTTCTTTATATAAAATTCCCGTACGATTTGTTATAATGGGCCCTGTTAGGCGCTCTTCATGTGTCTTCAGTAGCCTGTACGGTGAAAGAGTTACCGTAGAAAAAAGAAACATGTTGAGGAATTCTAATTTTGCTGATAGATGAAGATCGGAAATCCCTTTCACTATTTAACAAAAGGTATTGAAAATTATCTTTAAGATGTAACGGACAAAGTGGTTTATTTAAAATCGAGAAAAGAACAAGTACAATTCTAGAGTTACGTCTTTTATGGACAGTAAGCCGATTTAATCATAGTGCGACATTGGAGAACTAATGATTGATTTGATTAAAATATATCTTATGCAATTATTGAAAAGGCGTTCTGAAGATCTTTGTTTATGTCAGGGTATTACATCAGTATAATTAATTATAGGTAAAATAAGCTTCTACACTACCATAAGCTTGAATATAATTTATGATAGTTTAGAAAATTATTCAAACGTTAGAGAGTAATAATAAAATATTATTAATAAATAAACAAATAATAACATATTATCTTAGTAATGTCATTTTAATGTAAGTTTTTGTTTTCGTATAAATTCGTGCTCCCTCACGTTTTTTCTAAAATAAATCGTCGCTAAAATTGAAGGGCGTAGGTAGCATGATATTAATACAGATTGCTAGAGTAGATCTAATTAAAAGGTGAGCAGAGCGGAAATAAAGTTATTTCACCTTACAACTGTAAGTCAAGTCAGAATTAACACACAAAACAAACTCAACACACTTTTTCAAACAATCAGAAACACAGTGACACGCTAAAACCTTTGGCGCCTATTACGTGGAACTAAAACTCAGTAAATGTCTATTCAACATTGTTCGTGCTATTTTTTCATACACAATAAAGATGCATTATAATTTCGTTGTGACTCGAGATAGTTATGTAACATGCGTATTTTTCGTAACGTTATTCAAATTAATACTGTTTAACTTAAACTTTCAGACTCCTCGAGTAGTTAATATAATTAATGAAACGATAAAAATTAGTTAAAAATAAATCTATTATTTTTATAGTAATGCTAATGTATCATAGGCTTACTGAAAAATATAATACATGAATCCCAAAAATTTAGTTGCGTTTCCCGTTCCGTACTAACATCATAAAGTAGACTATAATAGCTGAAGTGACAATGGACCGGCCACATTGTTCAAAAAATCGAACACCGATGGGGAAGGAAGGTTCTCGAGTGGCAGCCTCGTATTGACCATCGGCCCCTGTAAACATTGGACCATACACATTGGACCAACGCATTGGGCCAAAGTATTTGCGTTCGTGGTGTGTAGCTGTTCACACATTTGTGTACTGCTCATTGTAACGCACCAAGATTCTTTAATGTGTGCTCAAATAACCGACACAATTCGGCTCGCTGGCCAACAAGCCATTTATAAACTAGCAAAGGCTAGAAACAAGGCAACAAACGATTGCGTTAAGTCGAGAATACTTAAGGGAAGAAATGGAACTGTGTTGTACAAAGATAAAGACATTCTGGCAGCATGGCATGAATATTATGAACATCTTTTAAACTCAGCACCTACAACTGTTGACCTTCCTGAAGTGGATAAAAATATGGGACTTATATACCCAATACAACCACAGGAAGTTAAAACTGCACTCAAAAAGATGTCGAACAAAAAAGCAACAGGCCCTGACGGTATTCCGATTGAAGCATGGAAGTGCCTCGAGGAAAAGGGAATTTACTTCCTGACACATCTCTTTCGTATGGTATTTGAGTCTTCAAGGACACCGGATGCATGGAGGCTCAGTACAATAGTTCCACTTTATAAAGGCAAAGGCAGCAGATGCGAATGCAACAATTATCGTGGGATAGAGTTAATGTGCCATACATTCAAACTATATGAAAGAGTAATAGAGCTGAGATCTGAAAGCACATTATCTACTAACCAATATGGCTTTGTTCCTGGCCTATCCACGATTGACCCGATGTTTGCTTTAAACATGATTGTGCAGGAGTATAGAGAAAAACAGCAGCCATTATACATCGCCTTTCTTGATATGGAAAAGGTATTCGATCGCGTACCTAGGCAGATTATTTGGTGGAGTCTTCGAAAGAAAAACATTCCAAAAAGGTAAGTCGTCATCATAGCCGACATGTATGAGAATGTGCGATCAGTAGTAAGGACTACGGTGGGGCATACAAAGCCAATAGCTGTTACGGAAGGGGTACACCAAGGTACTGTGCTCAGCCCTTACGTCTTTTGCTTGGTTATGGATGCACTTACGGAACATACTCAATCTCTTGCTTCCTGGACTTTTATGCACATGTTGCACAGTTCGGGGGAAGTGGACGTAAACATTTAGCACCGAATTCAAGCAGCCTGGCTTAAATGGAGGGAGGTAACTGGCGTAACCTGTGACCCAAAAATGCCTGTCAAGCTTAAGGGGCTAATATATAAGACCATGATAAGGCCAGTTCTTACGTATGGAAGCGAAACGTGGGCCGTGACACGGAACCAGGTCCATACCATACAAGTAGCAGAGCTAAAGATGCTACTGTGGATGTGCAGATTGACGACACTCGACAAGATACGTAACGAGTACGTGCGAGGAAGTCTCGGAATCCGTAACATCGCCAACAAGCTGTGGTAGTGTATGGGAAGTCAATGGATGCAGGTGGTTAAAGAAAGTGCTTCGTGGCGGCCAATTTTTTTATGTTCAGCAGTGGACTCAAGCATGTTGAAATAATTATAACGACGATGATGATAGCTACAATATACCCTGATAGTCAATAAAGACATAATAATAATACTAATCAGATACAAATAATTTATTTCGCCTTTGATCGATCGTTACTTCGAATTTTAGATGCTACTAGCTGCTGCCCGCGACGTATCTGCGTAGAGGGGTGAAAATTGAGGATTGTATGTATTTTTCTATGTTGTATCATAAAAAAATAGAAATTAAAAAATTTGTCAAAAAAATAAAAAAAAAATTTGGGGTGGACTGCTCATAACATTTAGGGGGATGAAAAATAGATGTTGGCCGATTCTCATAGATACCGGATAAGCACAAAAAATTTCATCAAAATCGGTCAAGCCGTTTCGGAGGAGTATGGCAACGAAAACTGTGACACGAGAATTTTATATATTAGATATATCGTATATCGAATCGTGGCAATATGACTTTCCTCCATTAAGCTTACCATCAGTATTCTAACCGAATAACTTTTTAACGTGATTGAAAATTGTATGCCTCTCATAAATAAAAAATAATTATTAAAAAGACTAGATTTAATCATTTTCAATATTCGTTTTTATAATATTCGAGGTTTTAAAGATTTGGCAGTACTCATTAAAGTAAAATAATTCGCGTTTAAATGGACAATATTTTTTAGAGAGTTTTTAAAACGAAGCCAGAATATTACACAGCCGTTGCATACAAAGTAATGTAACAGTTATTTCAAACATAAATAATATCTCAAAAGAAGGCTTTTCTTGGCATGATAATATATCAGTAATAAGATAGAAGTTAAATTGGAATCCATTGCATAAATGTACAAAACGGATAAACAAACAATGAAACTGTAATAATATATAGCAATTTAAAGCGTGTAAGTGTCATCATACTGATATTATAATTTTTCTCCAGCTCTGAGTTACGAGTGTGTTGAAAGTTTCATGTCCATAGTATCATCGGGACGTTAGCTTCGAATCCAATGCAAAATATTTAATAAGGTTTACGAAGTTAGTAAAATAATTTTTCTAAGTAATGAAAATGGTGTTGCTTGAATGTACTAACTTGCTATGCGTCTGCAGTTTCAGCTTTTTGCGTTTGTGCCTCGCAATCTCATGTTCGCACCAATGTGACGGCAGAGCATCTGCAGGACTGTCGACCATAGACGTTGTCTCCTCTGTAACGAATAATGCAAAAGGAATAAATTTTTATTAGAATAATTATATTTAAACTCTATCCCAAATCAGTCGTTGCAGTTGACACCTCTTATCAGAATTAAATAAATTAGAGATTATTTGACCTTTTTTTCAAAAAGATCTGTCTATGACTTACTAATCTGAGGAATCGGAATCTTAAGGAAAATATTTGTATGTATGTACGAGGTACAGTTGTGTCGTAACATTTGAGCTTTCAATCGATAAGAAAATATTAAATATCATTGTACAAGACGAGCAAAGGAAACACAAGAGGTGAAGCATAGATCTAACGGTTGCAAACTGTTTTCTATTATAAATGAATACCAATCTGGAGTAGAGTAGATCTTAAATTGTATGGAAAGGATTAGGACTGCTGTATGTTTAGATACCTAATACATGTATAACAAATATTTAAACGCGTAGGCACTAGCAAAACATTATGTTTTGCGAGTAGGGGGATCGAACGCTATCGGACTTTCCCGCACAGCCACTTTGTGGAACTTTGTGGTTCAACAACCTCAGAAAACACCTGCGTGAAGTGGAAGTGCACCCACTTTATTAAAAGGTGGCAACGCAGCATCGACATCAGGTGAATTGCTAGCTCGCTTACCACTCTCACGTAAAAAAAACCCCTGTCATCATTATCCGTAGCATGTATAGCTCACCGTCTGGTAAGCGGTCCCGAAATAGCAGCAGCAGCGGGTGGGTGCGCGCGCGTCTTCGCACCTGTTCCGCGTGCAACGCGCGCGCCTTCCGCTCCACCAGGGCCACTAGCACCGCCTCCAGGCGCGCCGCACCCGACTCCTCCGTGCATACTGCCTTGTCGACCGTCTGAAAAGTAAGGGCATTTTATTGAACAGGCTTTTTTATGTCAGAAGGTGGCAAACGAGCCGGCGGTCGACCTGACGTTAAGTGACAACCGCCGCCTATTGACTTGCAACAACCGTAGCGTTACAGAAGCGTCGCCGTCTTTTAACAAAGTGGGCCCCGGCTACCTCACTCACCAGTCGAAAGGTAAGAACAAGAGCACTTCACGCCGGTCTTCTGTGAGGTCGTGATACTTAACCGGATGGACCTGCCTATTCGTGCAACCACAAAGACTGTAGAGTGGCCCTACCACAGTTAAAAGAATAAGAAGAAAGGTATAGAATAATAAACACAAAACATCTGGTTAGAGCATGGTCTTTGTTACGTACGCCGAAAATTTATCTTGAAATTATCTACAAATCACATTTAAGTTCCATCTTGAGTGCATTAAAAATTAAAAATAAAATAAATCGTGAAAATATACAATATATAATATATATCTGTGACATTCTGTCAAAGCCCAAACTACATGCACTTGTTTTCTATAATTTCGATAATAGATCAAAAATCAGTGCAATTCAAATGGAAACCCCAACGTATATTAACCTAAAAACGAAAAGTAGTATTAAAGTAGTATTAGGTCGTATCATATTCGTATACTTTAATTGTAAAACCTAATTAATAAAAACATAAAGCAGGATTTATGCACCATAAATCCTATTTTATGTTTTTATTAAATTTTATTAATTTTTATTAACTTTTAATGTAACGGAAAACTGAGTTATTTTGGTTCACGCACTTATAATCCACAATCTCCGATAGGTTTTCGAAGTCCTAATCACTAAGGACAAATAATTTCATCCTAAAGACAGGATATCTTAAAATAATAATACCAACACATACGACAATGTTGCTCCAAGGTATAATAAATATTTATATATATATTAAATTATAAATACATTTTCGAATAAGAGATAACATAGAAAGGTAAAATAATTTATTATTTAACCAAACGGTCATAGTCTGGACAGTGGGGGAAACATAAATAATATAATCAGAACAACAGAGACGGAGCTAAAGTTAAATGGGCCGTGATAGGACGTTCACTATAAATTCTTTATAACTCGAGAAAACTGAATTAAAATCCCAGTGTCGGCATCAATGAAATTATTAATTGCAATGTCACGTTTTCATTGGCGCAGACATCGTGAGCAAACATGCGTATTTCCGAAATAATAAGAGAAAAAACGGCCAAGTGCGTGTCGGGCTCGCACACGAAGGGTTCCGTACCATTCACCGTCAATACCATTATCTATAAAAATGGCAAACAGTCATGCCTGTTATATAGGAGCCCCACTTATTTTTTTTTTTGTTCTTTAGTATTTGTTGTTATAGCGGCAACAGAAATACACCATTTGTGAAAATATCAACTGTCTATCACAGTTCATGAGATACAGCCTGGTGACAGACACGAACAGACAGACTGACAGACAGCGGAATCTTAGTAATAGGGTGCCGTTTTACCCTTTGGGTACGGAACCCTAAAAATTATGTATATAACTACTTAACAAAAGAAAAACTAAAAATTTTATTCCCTGTGCCAGTACTCCTTGTTAGTGAATAACTGTATACTTAAATAACTTGGAATTTTAGGTAAATGCCCAAAAGTTGTTATTGGTTGTCATTGTAATACCGTGAAGTCGTTTATTTTTTTCCCGTCATAAATTTGTTCCAGCCGTGAAAAAAGGCTGTATGAGCGCGCACAAGTAAAGTCCGCCCGTCTAAATTGTTCCAGCCGTTTAAATGTTCTACATTTGACTTTACATGTGTATATAGGCTGTAAAATTACAAATTTGTAAGGAAGAATATTGCTGACAGAAAACAGAAAATAATGAAGTGCTTACATCGGTCGACTCCTGCCGCATCGTGTGAACGCGGCCGGCCCATGTGGCCGATCATCGCCTCGTATACCTCACTAGTACGTTCCACTCAGCATCTTAAAAAACAGAAATGTGAATATGTAAATAACAAAGTCATATCATCTGTAATTATTGATATGAACAGGATTTGGCTTTATTAATAAAAACCCTAATTGTCTGTTGTACGCTAACGCCTCAAGAGGCAGAAAGTAGGCGTTGAAATGTTTGTTTCTCTAGGACAAACTAGAAAATATAATTGATATGTTATATTTAGCACTGCGTTTGATTTAGGTTAGAAAAAAATTGTTTGGACTACAAAACATTTTATGTGACCGTTAGGAACATTTTCCCAGTTTTACTACCAGAGTATTGTGATACAAAACGTAAGCACTGGCAAGTCGATTCCGGCTAATGGTTCATTTGCATGGAAAAATGCTTTGTGTGTCATTGCATATATTTCTCAGATTGAAATAAAGGTATGCGTATATACGTTCTATTTATAAAATACTTTTTTTATGTTTTTACAAGTCTTAAACAAACATTTATAATTAAAATTTACGAACAATTTACAGAAACCACACTTTTTGCCATATTTTAATATATAGATATACTGTTTTTTTTTTTATTTATAACTATGCAAGACCTAAACGAGATAAAAGTTACTACACATACGTGTAGAGAGGATAACCGTTGAGAGAGTGCCAAAGAATTAGACATACATGTAAACATATGCTCGAAAAACACAACACTCCTTCATCAATCGGGTAAAAAAAGGAATTCCTTCAGCTTTTGATCATATGTCCATTTGCAAAAAACGGTTAATTTTGTAAATAACATTCTTATAATGTAGCATTGCAATAGAAGTTTTAGGTCTTCATTTGTATTTGTAGTGACAGAGCAAGTGACTCGTCTAGTGGGCACACCTTCGCCCATAGAATTTCACAACAACAGATAGATTGCGCGTTACCGTTATTATATAAAAAAATGGGTTTCAATGGGGATAATCAACCACGACGACTACTTATAGAAGGAAAAATAAGTAGGCATCAACAGCATTTTGGATTTTTCCCAATGTACGGTAGAATAATTCGGCTAGTCATAACCAAAGCTGTCCACACGAACAGCGCACAGAATGGAGACGGTCTACAACAAGCCAACGGGTCGTAACCAGATATCCTCCGGCACGTGTCTCAAGCGATGGTTTCGTTGCTACCGTTGGTAAATGTGTGGACCAAAGACATCTCAGTATTGGTAAGAAAAAGCAGGGTGGGATTTTTGTTATCTTAACATAAAAATGATAATCTAGGTATATAATGATAATGGAATTTTTGCAATATCAGGAGTGCCGTCGTGTGGTTGCTAAATTTGCGTTAAACGGTGGATGTGCAGAGAGGAATTTTGTCTACTTTGCAGTGTAAGTGGAGCATCCCGAATGTCTGAATGAGGATAGAATAGAGGTGTATGCGCTTAGCGTGAATTCTCCAGATCCAAATGTATTTTGATGTCGTTATCTAGTCGTTACCTGGAGAACGGCTATGGTACTTTCCTAGTGGAGCTGACTTTGATACACTAATAGCTACCGTTGCGAAGCTCTCCCAAATGAATGGAAGTTATTTAAATAACGCCTAATAAGTACCTACTTATCAATAGGGTGACTACTCTTAACGGGATAAACAAACGATGTTTTAATTGATATTTTTCTGGTTATTTCTTGTCAAAATTAAATATTAATATTTTTTTTAATTATAGAATGCTCAATTAATATTGTTATGAACACATAAAGGAAGTAACGCCATCTAGCGTCAACTATTAAAACCACTAAAGAACAAAGACGACATAAAACCCCCTATTCAACACTAGATGGCGTTAGAGGAACTGCTGTGGAACTATAGTCTCGAAAACCGGGTACATTCGCGAACTTTCCGGAATCACAAACATGTTCGTGCGTGTCGGGTACGTTCCAGGAAGGATCTTTCTGGATTAGTCCGGAACCGATCTCGGCCCATATAAAAAGCCGCAGGGAGGCGAGCGACTCAGTTCAGTTTGAGCTACCTTCGAGGCGACTTCGGAGTGAAAACTAGTGATCAAGAGCGATACCAGTGAAACCTACGACTTGGCTACAATCTAGGACATCGTTAGTGCTTAGTGATTGGACCTAGTGCTTTGTGTTGGACCTAGCGCTAGTTAATAAAGTCTTCAAAAGAGTCAGCAGGTCTTTCTCTCCAAATCCTTCGAACCCCTAACACGTAACAATATTATGTCGAAGCATGAACTTCGTCTAAAAATCACCCTGTATATGTCCCACTGCTGAGCAAAGTGGGCCCCAGTTACCTCACTCACCAGACGAAACACAGAAGTATAACACGTCAACTTTACGCACGTCTTCTGTGAGGTCCTGGTACTTCCCCGGATGGACCTACCTATTTGTAGAACAGCGATGACTGCTGCGTGGCCCTATTTCGAAATGCAGGTTTTCTCACGATGTTTTTCTTCACCGTTGAGCATGTGATAATCGTGAACACTTGGCTCGAGTATATTAAATTAAAAGCGAGCATCCGGACACTGATTTTACACAAAAAACATTATACAGATAGATTATCAAAGTTACATGACGCTTTTTCAAAGTTAAACTAATATCTAGATGTGTTGTAATATTCACTTAATTATTCATCATCACATTTCTCCATTTCACGTAAATAAGTGACAACAACGAAGATTAATTATTAATCATAATATAACTGACGTATTACGTGAAGCAGTAAATTGAGCAATTTACGAAAATTTGATGACAATTATTTTGCATTGTTCATTTGTTTGAATATAATTTCGTAATAAAACTGTCTGCTCAGATCTATCTCCTTCAGTTAATTATTTAAGTAGGAAGATAAGAAACTACTCTTTTTTTTTTTGAAAAATATGGTCCTCACTTTAGGATAACATTATCCTGTTGTAAGAACGTTTATAAATTTCACGTGGACAAACACCCAGATACAAAACAACTATCTGTGGGTCACACAAATAGTTGTCCCGTGTGGGAATCGAACCGACGACCCCCGACGCCGAAACCAATACCTTGGCAACTGCGCCACGGAGTCAGTCTGAATATCTCAAAGTTTTCTAACACGGAATTCTGGTACGTGAATTTTTTACTTTATTGATAAAGAACGATGTTCAGAAATTAAATTAAAAACAAATTGATGAAGGAAATAAGTTATAAAATTAATGTTCTCATACTTTTTTATAGAACTGTAGTATTTATTATTCGTTTATTGCTGAAGTTCCTTTACTTTTCTAGAATTCTAGAAGACTCACAAATTTATTGAGAAGTGACGACTTATATTCCGTCAAAAGTATCCAATTTTTCATTGATGAAAGTAATTAATGAGAAATCTTTTAAAATTTTATTTAACTTTCACACGTCGGAAACAGCATAGCAACGGTTGTCACACAGTACCCCATGACGCGAAACTCAGTAGGTCAAATGGCGACTGAGAAGTTCTGCGTGGCAGTGAATTTTAATATTAAGCGAAGTTACAAAGTAAGAACGAAGTAACGAAAAGAAGAAGTTTTTCTTTTTTGTATATAATAAGCTTTTAGGTGTAAACTGGGATGAAAAACTTTCCTTTTGTAACATATCTATTGTCGCAGTTGCCAAGGTATTGGCCTCGGCGTCGGGGGTCGTGGGTTCGATTCTCACACGGGACAACTGTTTGTGCAACCCACAGATAGTTGTTTTGCATCTGGTGGTGGAGGTGTTTGTCCTCATGCAATTTATGTTTGTAAAACGTCCTTACAACACAGGATAATGTTATCCTAAAGTGAGGGCAATGTTTTAAAAAAACAAAAGAAAGAATTAAAAAGAATTAAACAGATATTATCACACTTAATGCTCTTCGGGTGGTTTTTATTTTAGCAGTAATATTCGTAGAATGGTTTTACTTTAGCAGATTTGCGTAAAATACTGATACAAAATTTAACTGCATGCAAGTAATCCGGTTATTCGCCTGTATACATATTCATGCCGCGATACAATACATGACAATACAATGGAAATGCCGAGGCCTAGTCTCCGGATAGATACCCAATCATTAAGATACGATGCTTTGAAACAAATCGACCATAATAAACACACATAATGAAACATGACGCCCTATCCTATTACATAAATTCTCCTTTATAAATATCAATTTTGTATTCAAGACTAAACCGAACTACAGTATGTCCTCACAGAAATCTAGATGATTTGGAAACCAAATTTGTTCAATAAAAATTAAGGTGTCGTCGCTGAACAATGACATTAATAATAATAATAATAATCATTTACTCCTCACGATAATCAACAAGAGTGTCTATAAACTTAAGATAAATTATAAAATACGATACAAAATACATGAAAACAGAAATACAAGAATAGATTATGGTGGATTGACACTTGAACTAGGAAGAATCCTGTGTCTCAAGTAATCAACCCTCCACCCCGTAACAGAATCTTTTAAAAGGTGTACCATAGTTACAAGTGTACATAATTACATCAAAACAACAACACAATATAAAACTAATTCATAATTACAAAGAATATACAAGCATGTAGAGGAATATGTGTATCCGCGTGTATATAATATATACGTGTTTGTTTGCGCGCGCGCCTGTGTGTGTGTGTGTGTGTGTGTCTCTAGGTATCTGTGATGACGAAGAACACAGTTAAATATATATAATTAACCGAACAGAGAAAAGTACTGTTTCCTCGTATAGCTTTTTAGTGGAGTATTTTCTGGGTCTGTGGTACATTACTTTAATAACTGCTCTTTGAGCTCTTTCTTATTCCAAAAGATGGAAGGAAGCAGCTCCACCCCATACTGTGATACAATAATTAATTAGCGATTGGCAAATGGCATAGTATATGTTTTTTATCAATTTGGGTTCCGCAACATCTCGGAGGTTTCTAAAAATAGGAAGAATTTTCCTGATTCTTTTACTTAATGAAGAAATTTATGGATGCCAGTTAA